CCATGGTATAGGATCTCCAGGTGAACATCATTAATTTACTTTCTGCTTTCATTGGTGATATTGCTTTTAATCATGAACACCTTGTGATAATCTCTTTCCTATCTAACTTGAGACTCTCAAACTTTAACATAATTTTTGAGAAAAAATTCAATGGACTATTTCAACTTATGCAGAATAACAGTCAGGGAATTTAGCTGCTATGTATCCCATTTTGAATTCATTCAGGGACTTTGGTTGGTGTTTCTATGAGATAACACTTTCCAGTTTATTCTGATAAAGTGTTTGATGCGTATACACATTGAGATGAGATTGTCAGTTGAAAGTACACATCAGTCAAGTCTGGAAGTTAAAGGTTAACTAAGTATATATTGTGAAATATTTCATAAAGTTTCCCTTAATTTTCTGAAACACTCTTTTAAATAATGGATACTAAGTGCTTGGATTCTGAGTCAGAAACTCAATAACATGTTAAACCTGCTACAGAACTTGCCGTTTTGTAAGAAAAGTACTGTTTGGGTGAAGAAACTATGACTGTCATATTTTGTTTCCTCCACTTACGCCTCTTTTTTCGGTTTTTTGCAGAAGAGGTAGTGTTGGCAGTGGAATGTGGAGTTGATATTTTTGATTCATCATATCCTTTACATCATCAAGAAAAAAAATTAAAACAATGCTGCTGTTTGCAGCCTCCATATTTATATTTCTTTAATGGCACAAATTACTTGGCTTTTGTAAATTTCATTTGAAATGTCACAGTGGTGAATTCGAGCATCTGTGTTTGGTTTAATGGAAGAAGCAGAGGCCAAGGGGTCAGATGGCAAGATTCTGGATTAAGAGTTCCAGTCTAGGTTCTAGTCCTGGCTGGGGACACTACATGTTGTGCTCATGGGCAAAATGCTGTGTTTTCACAGGATTAGCCTGAAGATCAAGCATTATTTGATTATGCTTTATTTTAGGTATGTTCCCTCCCAATGTCACATGTTACACTGATGGTGCACACAGGTGGATCACACAGGTGGCTCATTTGTACCCTATGCCTGCCCAAGTATTCTGTAAACTACTTAGGAACTAGCAGGGTGTCAATGACCAGTCAGGGAAACCTGACAACAATGAATCTGGTATGCAGACCTTCATGTACTCACTTCCCCCACATTGCAGGTGTCCCCATGTAGTACATGTAGCTTTAATTTTTGTCTTTTTTGTTTTTATCACAATTGGGAAAATAAGCAAATGACCTGTTTTTTCTTTGAGACTTCCCAAGTTGTCATAAGACCCCTAGTTTGTGGGAGTAAGGAAAACAGATTTTAGCATTTTATTGAACATTTGTCCTTAATCATGGCACCTATCCTTGTCAAGTAGCAGAGAGAGGATGTGCTTTGGATATTAAATGGAGCAGAAAAAGATTCAAACCAGAGCTCACATATTTACCCTCAGCTTCAGAGAGATTAGAAGGAGAACTAAAAAATTCAGAGGACAGTTTGAATGAATTAAGTACAAGTTCACATCAAAAAGAAATAGTGGGTGGTGGAACATTGTTTGAAATAAATCTCAATCATACAAGGTGTGTCTTCTATTTAAAGTTGAATTAATGTAAGATGTGATGTTGCCTTGCAAAGACTGATGATTCAGTTCATTTAGTCAGTGCTTTCCTTTCTATTCATGTCTTTAATTTGCTTATCATTTTTATTGACAATAGTAACAATAATGATATTAATGATAATGATAATAATTACAATAATAGTTAAACCACCAGCTGCCCTTCAGTTTCTTACTTTGGGTTTTCAGGAAGGTCTTTTAAAAATACAAAATAAATGCAATAAATTAACAAACAAAACTAATTAGAAAATAAAAACTATTCAAAACATGAAAAAACTCTGGAATGGATATTGAGTTGTATCATTATTTATTCATAAATTCATTTAGGTACAGCTCAGACTTCACCTCTCTTGTTAGTGGTTGTACATGTTACTGCTGTACAAATCATACACGGGCTTATGTTCATCATCTGCTTGTCACCAAAGAGATGCTTTCCAAAGTTCTTCTTATGATGTAAGTATTCAGTCATTGCATTTCCTTGTTACCATCCATGTCATAGAACACGCTGCTCTATAACATAGGTTACATATTTTTAAGTTGGTGGCAATAGTGGGAAAAGGAAAACAAGGGAAAAAGGACATATATATAAGCACAACTCTAAAAGTGAAGTCAATAAATAGTACATGAACCATTTTATTGCTTGGTGTTAAGGACACTTTGGCCTAAAGACTTAGGGTTTAGGGTTAGGCAAGGACTCAGTTCAAGCCCTTGTCAAGATCAGAATACTGTCAAGGAAACCAGTCCAAATCAATGAGAGGAGGGATATAAAGTTACCTTTAATGGACTAGTATCCCATTTTGGAGAAACAGCTGTAGTATATTCACAGAAATAATGTACATGAAAAATTGAAGAGCTTCTGATTGGCTGAAAACAAGTGCAAACTACAAATAGCATGCATGCTGTCAAAATTTCGTCTATCTTGACTTTTTGTGATGTTTTTTCAAGTCATTATTGATAGGTAATTACATGATTAATCATTCTTGTGAAATTAAAACTTATGAGCTTATGCAAGTTTTTTGTCTTTGAAAAATTAACTCATACTCGTTTGTACCAAATTTCACTCAAAATCATGTTGTTATCTATACTAATTGGAAACAGTGTCACTGATTACCTGTCTGTGGTCCATTACAGTGACTTCAAGATCATTAAAATTTACATAATATTTTTTATTTCAGCCATAATCTACATGAATATTGTCAGTTTTTCGCTGGCATTCGTTTGTCAATAGAGGAGGATAACTTCGAAGAGTTTAAAAGGAACTTTACTGAAAGCCACCATCTGTAGCAGTGAATTGGTTTCCTGTATTTCATGGAATCTACATCCCTAGCTTATCTTCATTTCTTTTTAAAAAATTTTAGTTTTTACCAGTATGTAGTGGACTTCCTATAAACACTCAGAGAGAAGTGTGCTAGAGGTAGAGTCAGTCTAGTTTTACACAAGGTTTGTTGTTTAGATCACAAAGAAGACCTTTATCTGTTTCCCTCCTGGCTATGTGTTTGCCTTAAATGAACTGTATAATCCAGTTTCTTTGATATTGTTGTGACAGTGTGGCTCAGTGTCTATCCTTGTTGTTCTTTTTGTCTTTCTGTCTGTATGTTTGTGTCTCCATCTTTGTCTGTGTCAATCTGTTAGTCTATGTGTCTAACTGGCTGGCAAGCTGTTTCTCTGAATTAGAAGTTTTTACCAGTCATTATTTATTGCCAGGGGGGAATCACACCGCTAATATCACAGAGCCTAATGGGGGGATCAGGCAAATTTTATCGTGAAACCACCAGAAGCCTCCAACCCCCCCCTCCCCCCTTCCCTTTAACTGCTTCACAAGATGTGGTACAGACTGGAGTCAGTGGGTGGGGATGACAGCTATAAGACTTCAATTTTGTTAGTGCTGCTACTCATGAGAACCAAGGAGAGAGCTACACCAGTTTTCAATTGTGACAACTAAGAAACTTTTATCTAACTATTTATTGATAAATTGTCTACATAAATTCCTATAGAAAAATAAAACATTTTAAAATTCTCAGATATTTCTCTAGATATTTAATTTTTTCTGTGCGGAAAACACTGCAGACTATGATAAGAGCTCGATTTGGGGCATGAAAATAGCTATAGAATCACGAATTTCTTTCAATAATCTTGATACAATCTGTAAGCATTGACCTTCCTCTTGAACTTCATAACAAAGTGTGAAAAGTGATTCTGGAATCGCGTTACTGGCACCAAATCAACTATTTAACGCAAAACCATACCCGAAAGCGACGATCGTTTCTAGTATGCTACGCTGAGTTGAAAATTACAACATAACATAACACCGGCAATGAACTAGCTTCGTCCTTAAGGCGACAGAACACCATCAAAACCTTGCATTGCTCTTTGAACGTAACTTATAGGTAAACATATAACCCTTGCTTGAAAACTATACTTCAAGTTAACAGTCAAAGTATTACTCTTCTTTTTTTTTCTTCATTTCTTGGGAGGAATTTTACTCAACTATGTTTATTTACAGTTAATATCAAAGTTCGACTTTTCCTTTAAGCGTGTCGGTTTGTTGAAGTTCCGGTGGAATCAAGCCTGTGGTTTCCGTATCACTGAAGTATCCTTCATCTCCTACGTAATGAGTTGGGTACAGAAGTAAGGGCTCTGCTGTCATGGCAACAAGGTTACGGGGATAAAAGTGATTGGCCCACTCCGGACTGCAGAAGAAATTAAAGGCGAAAAATAAATCAAATTTAATTGAAGGTAGACAAAGGAAGATAACTACGGCGTGAGGAAACGACAAGGAATGAAATAGAAGGTCCCCATAAACCGTCGTTTGAGTGTTTACAAAGGAGGGAAGGTTTGGATTTTCTCTAGGTATTATCCCGTTAGTGTAAATCACGTCGTTTTTCTAAAAATAATGTGAGAGTGTATTCACTATTACTCCGACCAAAATTCAAATTGTAAGATTTTCATCACCAAGTTGGTCTGCTTCTGAAAATATCTTATTTATTGACCTTTCTACCCGAAAATATGCGATATCTTGGGTTGAGAGGGGAGGCCATGTTGGCAATGATACATTGCAGGAATGAATTGACCAAATTACGCCCAAAAGTGGCGCCTATACCATTGTACTTACTTTAAATGTTTGTTAAACATAATGGGTAAAAACTCGTCCACGGCGATCATTTTCTCCAGCGGTTTCGCAGACACAAGTTTTCGGGCGCCTCGTAAGGAGATGGCATACCCCAGCGTCCAATAGGTATATTCAGCCCAAGCTAGTGCCGAGGCCCCTGGAACCATTGTAACAGGATTACTGTGGAATCGCTTGCGCCCTATATAACTGAGTGAGAAAAGGCAATATTGTTAGCAAATGATCCTACGAAGGCTTACGATCCGTCAGCTTTGCCAAGCCAGCAAAGGCGCTTGAGTTATTTGACTCTTTAACCCCTGAAAAGGACTAACTACATAATGATGTAGACATCCTTCCCACTTCTTCCAAGATTACTTCTACCTTCTTGGGAATTGAGTGAAAACACTCGGAAAGTTTAAACTCACATTAGTTCCCAAGGATACTCGCTTGAAAGGGCGTTTGCCTCTTGAAGTAGATGTTGTAGCTGATTTCGAAAATCGGGTTCAAACCGAACATCATCTTCTAACACCAAAACTTTATCCAAGCCATTATTGATCATCTGAGGATTAAAAAGGGAACATTATTACAAACGGCGGCGGTAGTTTTCGCACGAGACTTATGAAAGGACAACGAACAAAAGTTGACAGCATATGAACGCAAGTAGCGACAGTAATAACACCAATTGGAGTCCAACGAGGTCTGTAATCATACGGAACGAATTAATTTACCTTGTCGGACAACCGGAAACAAGACGCCCGATTCGATTTCGTTAATTAAGAATCTTGTTGCAGACAGAATTTAACAATTCTTTATCCTGTTAACATTTAGTAAAAACTATGACAAACATTGGATAAACAAAAAGCACAAAAGTCACGCGTGTTAACTTCATGTCGCACGCGCCGACGAGACGAAAAAGTAATACAGCTTTCTTTACTTCACTATTGAGCTCAATATTAACCATCTTTATTCATTCTAGCCACTAACGCGACGCTTTCGACACAGCTTATCCTAGCAGTATGCAGGATAAGAATCACATGAAATCCTCACAATGGCCTCATGATGGCCTAATAATCTCATAACCAGACCTTTCACGGCCAGGCGGTTGTTCAGCTACAGTTGCACGGTAGGAATGGCTCAACTCACCACGGAATTTTCTTTAGCTCTGTGGTAAAAGTATCAGTACGCAGAATCCGAGAATCTGAAGTTCGGTTCCTCCCTGAGATTCATATTTTTCCTCACTCCCATTCTCGTGAAAAGACGAAAAAAACGTCTTTCTCTAAGAATACACATTTTAATTTTATTATAAATTTTGTCCTTATCCATTTTCTTGCTTTGCCTGGATCGAGCCTGTGCTGTCTAAGTGACCATGAAACTTGCGCAAAGCGAAAGAAGGAAGAATTTCGAAGCGTTTGTACTTTTAGGATGCTTCCCTCTACAAGTAACTTACCTCCTCCCAAATAAGGTAATGACTCAAGAAGCATCCGATTTCTCCCATGGTAAGCGGCCTAAGGAACAAAAATGATCGCCGCGTAAAAAATTAGTGTGAATGATTGTGACGATAATACCAAGAAAAAATAAGGGGACAGAGGAGAACAATCAGGATTCCCCCTGACTCTACTTATTTTCTTATGTCGAACAGGTGGGAATGAATGAACTGATGACCTTCAGTAATTGGAGACCTCGAATGATATTAGGGACCTTAAGCAAACCACGATGGGGACGGCAACGAGGGCATGGAAAAACAAAAGATCTAATTGGCAGAACAATAGCTCAGCACGTGCGTTTTAAAACTTTGTACATTTCTTAGCCGTCCTATGCAAAACAACGTGAAATCACAATTTGCGTCGTCTGCGCATCGAAACCGCGACGGCAAATTGTTTTAATTTCCATTGGAACGCAGCTCTTCTTTTATACGTTATGCTGAAGTTGAGGTGTGGCGCCATATGAGAAGGTAAACACATGCAGTCATTTTTTAAATTCTAATTAAAGGCAGAAATTCATTTTTCAATCGAAGTCTTCCTCGGCGTTGCCGTCCTGACTGCTTAAGGTCCCTATTAACAGGCCTTCGGCGGAACGTCATATCACACCCTCGGGGTGATATTCTTCCACCTCAAACTCGAGGGGATCGGCGGCCTCGTACTCACGCATCGTGAAGGAGAGGTTCGCACTGACATTGGTGAAAAGAACTCACCGGACCGTCTCTCCCCCATGCTGTCAACGAATGGACCGGATAGGAACAATTTCTATGTGCGTTAGTTTATGGTTTTGTTTTGACAGAGAGTAACGTTTCACATGCTCAATTATTGATAGGAAAACTATATAAATAGGGAAACATTATCAACTGCTGACCAATCATTTTTCTTTTGATTTCAGCTCAGTTATACGGGGAACTGAAGTTAGCGAAGACGCCCTGATTCACCTTTTTCCATATGGATCTTTGTAACCTGGTAACATCTTAATCCCCATGTCTTTAACCTGCTGGTCAGTTAATGACCTGGCAAAATGGAAAAAGGTGATAATGACAAAAAAGGCAAAAACCAAACAGACAAACAAAAGTTCTAAATACATTGTCAACAACTTTGAGCCATGCCACAGGATAATTGAAAGAAAACAAATTGTAGGCAGCAGTTCACTGGACATGAGAAGTTGGACTATTTATTTTTCCAGTCTGTCGTCCTTAACTAAGTAATTTGTAGTATGATCTGTTAAAAACAAAGTATAGAAATTTAAAATCTTTCAAAACCCAAGGCCTTACAATTTCTTTAATTACAAAAAATTAATCAATTAATTAATTGATCACAAAAACATGGGAATGGAATTGAATTTTGCATCCTTCTTTGATGTAACCACCTTTATTTTAAGTGGATTAGAAAGATTTATCAGAGCAATGTCCTAAAAAGGAGTACATACTTGCCATCAACTGCATCAAACATCTTCACTTTAATTCCCAGCTCTTTGAGAGATGCAAGCATCCTTTTTCGACGTACAGGCCTCCTTTTAAGATTGATGAGATAGATCTTTAGGGAAAAAAGATGGTAGTTAATTCACCCACAAGATTTCACATTTTGTTGGAATATATCCATCAATTATGTCAAATAGAAGTCCTAGGACACTGTCTTCAAAATAGGGCTTAATTTTGTTGTTCAACCCCTTAACTCCCAGAAGTTATTAATACACATACGTTATCCAGCAAACAGGTAATGAGAATACTCAAACTTATCTGGTAGAAGTTATCTCAGTCTAAAAGCAAATAAATTCATGAAGAAATAGGCAGCATTTAGAGAGGAGAATGAACAAGCAGATCTTAGGAGTGAATTAAGCATACAATCCCAATTTGGTCTGTAATGTTTTGTACTGTACCTCATCAAAACCCAGCTTTCCAGGAGGGGTGTATTCAACAGTAATGTGTGAACTAACAGGCATCAATTCCTCTGGATGATCAACTACAAAAAAAATGAGACCATTTACACTTTGCCCTGGAAGGAGTTACCACTTGAGTCTGCTGTGTACTCACCAACCCACAACATGAATCAAACTGCAAAATGCCTTAGTTATATAGTAAGTAATACTGTGTATTAGAATATGTAACAAATTACATACCAAACCACTCAAGCTTCACATGAGTAAAATGAACCTTCATGTCTTCCAAAGTGCTATTGCCGTTTGAAGGGCTTAACATGTAGCCATACACCTCTTTATTTAAGAGGTTCAACTTTATTCCTGTGAATATAATAAAAAAAAACTTATGAAAAGGTTAACGATTAAGACCACTAAAAAAACCTACATATTTTACATTTGATGGGACATTAAACTACAGTTCTCCTTTTCAGACCATAACCAGTCAAATTTACTGCCTATAATACCTCTTGTTACTGCCTAAAATTGCTTGGAATTCTTGAGAATTCAACAGGTAAAAGGATATATTGCCCTAGAGGTTAAAAAATTGCTTTTATACCCATTGTGCATAAAATAAGGGAGAACACTGTAATCATTCAAAAGTGGCAATCACTTTCACAAACAACCTTACCATTATCATAAAATTTGAAGGTAGGTAGAAGGTGATGATTTATAGATGGTTGTGAATATTAGGTTCATTAAACATTGTCTTCTTGAACAAATCTTCAAGGTGTTGATCTAGCATCAGAGATCAGAGAAGTCTCCAGCAAAGACAACAAGTTTCTCCAGCAAAATTCTTAAAGCCTGTTCAGAGTGTCTATCATCTTATTTCTCTTTACAATATCACCACTGAATCATACATCATCATGAGATGAAAGGATATGATTACCAGCTTAAGAAGTTCCTGACCATGAAAGATTCTCCTTGTCATTATCATGGAAAATGTATGGAAAACAGTGAGGAGAATATGTACACTGATGTTCGGGAGTAAACGGTTAATTTTAGATGTGGGGAATATTCTAATATTCTTATAACTTTGCAGAATACTCATGCTGCTACATTAATTGATGACTGAAGTAGTCAATAAAACCTTGCAGGTAATATACCAGTAACAAAGTTTTCTGGCTTTCAAATGGTATCTGGTGAGCTGCCAGCTCTTAAAAACAGCCTTGGTAATCCTTTGGGGTTAGAAGGTAAAAGGAAAATATACGCTTTATACCATGGTGATATATGATAATGTATACCATTGCTAACCTGCTTCCCTTGCTGAATGTGCAAACACAAGAATATCATCTTCTTCCCCATGGTAACTTGGTAAAGGGGGGTTATACCTCAACTGATCACTTATAGTCTTCCTTAAATCTATCAGCATGGTGGAGTGAATCATTGGCACTTCAAAGCAACCCTTTTCTTCTCGTTGAAGCATTGGGAAGTAGTTGTCAGACCTAGCATAGTATCCCTACAATATTAAATAATTATTAAGAGTTAGGTGCATTCACTCACATCTGGTACATAAACCTGCATTTAGACTCATTATTGCACATAGGTTAAAAAAAATATTTCAATTTGGTTGACCAGGGGGTAAAAACAACATTATCAGATAGTGCTCTTTGTGCATGTGTGTGGGTTTTTTTGTTATTGTTGTTGTTGGTTTTTTTTTTTTGGCCTTTTTATTTATTATTTTTGAGGGGTGTGTGCATGTACGTGTGTGTATGGAGAAAGCCCATGAAAGAGTTTCAAATCATCTGGGAAAATACTGCATGGCTTAGTGGTGGTTCACTGTTGCTTGAATAAAGTTTTCATAGCTTAAACTTAGTGAAAGGAGATAGATTCAATATGCACAATCATAGAATCTCATTTCCTCAGGGAAGACCAGCTTAAACATCAAGAAAATAACAGCAAAAAAAACATATGCAAACAGATACATGTGCTTCTCTCTCTTTGTGACTTACATCTTCATCCATTCCACCCCAGAAGTTAGAATATGCAGCCTTTCCTCCAAAAACTTCAATCATTGGAGTAATAACAGTCCTTTGAAAGAGACAATGTTCAAAGGTATTACATCAATCACTACTTTTGTATCTCCATGAATATAAAAGACAAGAAACAGAAGGGATAGGTAAGCTAGCTAAGGTGGAAGCCATTGATGAGGAAACCAAAAAAAAACATGACCTTTCATTTTAAGGTCATTCCTTAGCGGTGTTCTTGACAAGCCCTTGCAGCTATGGGTTTTCATTGGCTTATTTTTCTGAAGCCAGGGCTTTTTTAATTAGACAGAACATCTTACTATCTGTCTTGATCTGAAATGAGTTTCAACATTTTGCCAGCAACTGTTACTAAAAAATAAACCTGTAAAAACTGTATTTAGCACAGTTCACATTCACCTCTCCTATGATTAGGGTATGCACACTAAGAAAATGATAGTTTTTCCCTTATGCCTGAAGAATGTGTGAGAAAGAACAGTCATTCTTCCAGAAACAATTATGGTGTTGTATCATTGTTTTTTTTTACTCCGCAAGGGGTTAGATATCTAATTTTTTTTTTTATGGTTACTGTAATACAATGATCAAAGTGTTCCTGTATCAAACATGATGCACTCATCTCAAACATGAATTTAGTAAGTATTCATAATATAAAATAATTAATCCTCAAGTATCCTATATCCCTATATTTTTTTACCCAAATATCATTTTTCCACTGGCAGATAACCAGTAATAGGGCTCCCTTGGCACTGTGAATCCTCTTCAAGTATGAACTAAAATATATTTCATATTTTAAGTTTCTTCAACAAGCAAATAAAGTTAAACAAAACTCTTATAACAAGGTCAGTTTCAGAGGAATGGGAGTGTTGAAAACTTGGCTTCATCAATTTACACAGCATTATTTATTCACAACTTTTTTTACATCTTACCTTTTTTCTTCCATGAGAAGTCTCAATGTTTTAGGATTCATTAAGAAGTTGTCACAATCTACAAACTAAAAAACACAAGGAACATTCATTGGTATGACAAATATTATAGCATTTATCCAGGTTAGCATTGAACAAAGTGTTTCAGATGAAATGGAGTCTGCAAAAAAAGAAACTATGAGAAAACAATTTAAAGGATTGCCAAAGAAACATGCATTTATTGCTTCTTGATATTGCTTAAGAGTACTTCAATAGGATTCTTCTATCTCTTTCAGGAGAAGCTGGTGTGTACATATCTAAGAAGACAATTGTTTTGTAGATGGTTAGGCCATGTAACAATGTACCGGTAATAGCCAACTTGGTATAGTTTACAAGCCTGGTTTTAATGCAAGTTATGTCACAGATACAGCAGTAAGTTATTAAAATTTAATGTCTCTTGTATGCTTACAAATAGGTAGTCAGCCCACTGTTTTCTTGCGCTATCCAAAGCCTTCTGTCTGAGATACATCATCTGTTGATATCTGCTGTCTGGCCACTCTGCTGGGCCCACTGCATCATCATACTTATGAGGTGTATCAGACACATTTACCAAAACTCTGTGGTATAAATGTTTCACATTTTGAGACCACTCTTGTAGTATCTTTGATGTCTTATCTTCATTGTGGTCTGATCTGATCCTGGATAAAACCAAAAAGACAGGTACTTATCCTTGAAAACAACTTTTTGCACCTGATCCAACACCAGGGAAAATGTTTTATGAGGCATTTAAAGAGAAAAAAATTGCAAAAATTTCCTAAGGCCACACTTGAGAATAGACCCTGCAGTACAAAGGCCTCAACACAACTCCAACACCCCACAGTTCAAGCATGTTGCAATCCATTACCCAGGGACAACCCTATGACTAACAAATTCTCCAAAAAAAGGACTTTGCACAGTCCAGCCACTGTTTGACTGTTCAATTCCCATGAGTGATTAACATTTAACTTCTCGCTATCACATCCTTACAATTTCCAGCAAACAGGTAATGAGAATTCTCAAACCTATCAGGTAGAAGTTGTTATCTTGATCTAGCATCAAATTCTCATAAATTAATTTACAACAAAATGTGTTGCATCTAAAATAGAATAATTAACAATGAGGTCTTGGGAGTTGAAGGGTTAAAAAGAAGTTTATTTTTGTCAGTCAGAAAAGTGCCTAAGCACACAAATTTTTCTCTTAGGAATTATTGTCATTAATTTCAAAACCTTAAAAGCTTAGTTTGCAGGTATGCTTTTCACTCATGCATAAGACAAAATTGTGCATAAATCTTCAAATTATCAAAGGAAATACTCCATGAAGTTGAAATTCGTACTCAGTCCCTCACGAAATGTAAAGGAATTCAAAAAATGACATGACACGTTGGCACGCGCTACGAGAATTTTCCCACAAGCTTGTCGGACATCAAAATAGTGCCAAGAACAAGTTTCGACTACACAAAGCTTTCCACGGTTCGATTAACCTCTCTGTTACTGTGAAAGCAAGAACTATTCAGGGCAATTAGTGGCAATGACACAGATTTAAGATTTACATGGGAAGTTTAATAATTTGAATCTCTAACTTAATTCACAGTGAATGAGCTTTTGTAGGCAGGCTACAATTTGAACGTAATTATGATTTTCTTACGTTACTCATGAATATGGTTCAAAGCTGTACGAGTCTCTGACATGAAACAACACAAGAAAAAAAATACTCACCAAACAGACATTCGATTCTTCGGGTAATCCAAATTCTCGATGTATGCGAGCCAATTGGGCAGAAGATGAGCGGCGTTACGAGCTATGATCGCTAAAAACACGCTGGGATCTCTTACTGCGGACTCCTTTGAACGATTATAAACAACATCCGAGATCTTTGAGTCCGCTGATGAGATCTTTAAACTTGTAAATATAAGAGTAATCAAGAATAAATAACTACAACGAGCCATCACTAATTGATTTTTCCGGAGATTTGCGAGGAATTACTCCTTGTTCAGACCATCGTCCTTTGCAGATAGAAGACCGGAAGTACAACTGATTGCTTAACTGTCACGCAAGGAAATTCAGCTTATCAAAGGGTTTTTTTGTCCCATTGAATTTCCAGAGGAAACGTGTGTCAGTTGAAGAGTGAAGTAAAGACAAGAGACAAGAAGAAATAAAACTAGATGGGTGTCAGAATTTTCAAATAGGCTACGACCTGCTTGAGTTGAAAACCTTAAAAAAGCAAGCGGCTCCTTTCCTCGACTCCTTGCACGCAAATGCAAGACATGCCCAAAGTTCTCGGCGCGCGGATCGTGACAGCCTCACACAGGTGCAGTATGGCTAACAATGGTTACTAATTAGACATGACTTATGGAAATTCGATTGCTTCCTCTCTGAAAAGTTGGGATGGGAATCGAAAAGGGGGTGGGGTTGATTATCCCTTCTGTTTCACTCTTTAATTGTTCCTCTATCCATTTATTAATACCTTCGATCCAAAGTTGGTAATTTCATGCTTGAGTTAAATTGACAAAAGAGGGAAGCAGTTTCATTTCGATCATTTCACGGAGTGAAGCAGTACGTCTATTCTGGTGAAAATAACCCTTTTACCTTCCTTTCTTTTTCCACATCTGAACATTCCCTAATACACTGACCATTTCGTTAATAATTTCACATTTCACCGTTGTTCATAAGATCTGATCACCCGATACCGAGAAATCAGACGATAAATTTTGGTAAATTATATTTCCTTTCTTCCTGATAGCACTTCGAAGTACAGAGACAGAAGAACTGGGTATCATCACACATGATGTCTTGTATCGGAAGGCTCATATTTATTTATTTATTTGTCACTGAGAGCATTTAACTTTATCTTTGTTTTATCCTCGTCTATAGCAGGCTCGTAATATCAAGTTAGGTTTTACGGTTTGACGGATCTCATTCACCTGCTCCATGCGAAAGACGTGTACCCTGTCTGTATTAGAAGGCAGTTGCTTTAACCCGCTTAAATACAGCACACAAATTTTTTAAAACACAATTTCAATTTCTGCGTCTCTCTTCTTTTATTTTCTTTCATTTTAAACATAAACATGATCACACGGTATGATGATTGGAATGTTGTACAGTTCTTCTTAATTGAATACTATGATGAAGAAAAGTAACTGAAAACGCACCACTCACTGTTCCACCTCGCATGTCACATCTTGATCAGTTGCTCTATACAGATCTGTAAGTCAATCCTAAGTGACCTTTTGGAAAGTTCTGTGAAACTCATGAATGGCCATTATCAGCTGGGTTTGCCTTGGAAGTTCAAGTCAGTAAGCCTCCCAAACAACGTGACCTATAACTTGGAAAATATTAAACCAACAAAACAACCTGTCGTCGTTATAAGTCCTTTCAAGAAGAGAATTTTTATCTCCTTATTAGTTTTCTGTATTAGTCTTTGATAGAGAATACGGGAGTTGTGCCTCAGTGGCGCTACTTATAAAAGGTGTGGAGAATCAAAGAAGTTGTGCCTCAATGGCGCTATACTTGTACAAAGGTGGTGAGAATAGGGAGAGATATTTCAGACACAGAAGTAAAAGGCTCTTCCTTGGAGCATAGGAACTCTTAAAGTAGGAAAGGAATAACCGGTATTTGATCTACGCATGTTTCGTCATATGCTTTAAGTCTTCATCCGGCTTACCGACTTAGTTTTAACCTTTTTCTTTTGGTTTGGTCCAAAAATGATGTCTTTTTTCTGCCTTGTATTACCACAAGATATTTTTAAATTTGACGAGGTTTCTTTCAGAGAGAAAACAATGGGTAATTTCTTCCCTAAGTCACCTCTTTTATGAGGTTAGCCTTCGTTTCTGCCTCTTCGATTTATAGCGTATTTCCAGTCGTGATAATATCTTCGCAGCTCTGTGAGCTAAATGAAGTCCATTCGATTTTCTTCTTGGCTTTTCCTGATAGGATTTCTGGTCAGTCAATCTGCTGTTTCGCGGTAAGTTTCTAATCGTTGTTCTCTCTTGGGGAATGGACACAGAATGACGTCGTTTCTCCATTTCATCCATATTGCTCATTTCGTCGTCATCGTCGTCATCGTCATCATCTGGGCCCTCATCGTCCTCTCGGCCAATACCCATCATTTTTCGTTGAGCCATAAGCATCATCTCTTCTTGAATCCTCTCCTTTTCATTACGGTTCTCTTTTTCTCTATCCTCCATATGATTTAGAACACTTTTCAGCTGAGTGGCAAGCGTGTGAGCTAGACTTTTCCAGTCCTTTGAATCGCTCATGCTAACAACGGCATAGTTTGGCGGTGGTGACTCAGGACCCGTCTTACTAGAACTTAGATAAGGAACATTTTGTTGCGAAAGGGCCTCGGCGCTAGCTCGAGCGCGGTCCAGATTTTGTGCATGTGCAACTTCCGCGTGATGTTCGCTTGCACCCATATCTGCCGCCAACTCGCGACTGTCCTCCATAGACTTGGCATCGGCTGGAAAATCCTGAGTGGCCTCTTGAACGAGTCTGGTATGGCTGTGATGAGTGCTGTCTCGATCAAACAACTTAATCACATTTTTAATGGCGCTCGTGGCCGCTCTGATTTTAGCTTCCTCTTCCTCTGCCTTAGCTCGGGCCTCTTCGTTTTCAGTCTGGAGTAGATAAGTGGGCGAGGGCAAGCCTCCCGGACGGTCCTCTGTAGTGTAACTCACTCCGGTAGCATGACGGGAGTTTTTCACCTTGAAAATAGCTTTACCAGTTCCTGGCCGCTCGTTGATGGTAAGTGTGACTTGTTTCCCCGATGATTCCGAGACGCGAGGCTTGTTGCGAAACGATAAATTCATCTGTTAAAGAAAAAAAGGACCTGTTTTGTCAACTATTCGTAGTGTTTCTCGCTGAATTCTAGGGGTCATTACCATTAAGTTCGAACAAAACAGAAGCAGCACCTTAAATGTTGGAGTACTTATCGTGGCAGGTAAAAAAAATTATTGGCGCACCGATAAAGTGATTCATCTCTCTATCAGTAATCAAGAGCTTACTCCTTCAGCAAACGTATAGATGGTTAGCCTAGGAGGCATTGGGGTGCTTCAGTATAGTTTTATGCGATAAGCATGTGAGGGACAACTCCAAGATCGAAAAAAGGGGCTTAACTGAGGAAGAGTCTGAAATGGGTTTTACAATGTCGTTCTCAGAGCTACTGACATAAACGACTTTATGACTAAAGGAAAGGTGGGCCCTGAGGCACGATTTGTCCACACTATTGTTTTGCGTGTCGCACACAGTTGGGGGCATTTTACAAGACTGCTTTCGACTGACTGTCGTAAGAACAAAACCAAAATAAACGCAACGGCTAATCAGGACGGCGGAGAATTCCATAAAGAAACACTAGAGACAGAGTAAATACATGAAAACTTTGTTAAGGGCGAGAAAACGCGAGTGATCAGGGAGCGATTGGGTTTAGTTCAGTTTTCTTGTGTTTTGTTGAGGTAATGCGAGTCTTGCAGACTGAATAACAGAGCATAGAAAACTAAAACTAAAGCAATTCTGAATTATTTTCGACCCGTGGTTGAAGTGGTTCTAACGTGCACTAACCTGTAAAACAGGATTGTTTTTATTGCCATGCTTGTTACCTGCAAACATCAAGTCTATTGGCATGCTTCCCTCTGAACGATCGAGTTTAACAAAGTTTTCAGCCATGCTTGTTGAATTAACCACGGAAGTGTTAGGATGTACATGCACTGCTATGTGTTCAAACGCTTGCTGACCTGTTGTGTCATCAGAACTAATAGGCAAGATGGAGTCTGTGTTTTTTACTCCGTCTCTGTGCGTCACTCTGCTTTGTAAAGTGCTCATCTCATGAGAGTCTAGACTCTGTGCAGCCAAGTTTAATTTCAAAGTATTTGTATCTGTGTTACCTTCTTTCATTTCTTCATGCATGTATTGATTACCAACACCTGGCAGGAGGCGCTCGTTTACGGAGGCTGCATTATCTAATAACCCTTCAATCTCCTTTAAGTCCGACTCAGGGACGTTATTTTCTGTGGGAATCCTGCTGCTGGGCGATTTACGTTCCTGGGCGGCCTTAGTATGAGAGCTACTATTGTCTCTCAGTGCTAACAGCTTATCATAAATTAGCGCGTCATGAGGACCTAAATCATTCTTTGTTCCTGGATCAGAGGCCAAGAAATTGGTAGAGTTGTTCAGAACATCATACACCCTTCGACTTGACTTTTCTCCGAGTTCATATCCCATTAGCAGCACAACAGGATTCGTTCCTTTACCAGGCTGTTCACTTACCTGTGTTTTTCCGCTAATAATAGGACCATCCGGCGAATGTGTTTTTTGTTCACGTTCTACTGAGGAAACGTTTGAAGAGAATGACATTTTTCCCTTTGTTTCATCATTCGTGGGTACCTTTGCACTTTGAATACCAATGCGAGCCTTATTAAGCAGACCAAGAGCGTTTGAAGAGGCTAAATAAATCAAGCGAAGAACGAAAAATATATCTGAGTTGGATAAAAATACATAGAAAAATACACTATAGGCTCAGTTCTATGAAGCAGCCAGGAACCTTTGTGTAACCTAAAATGAACCGATGTAGCTTAACATCAATTTATAATGGTAGTCTTTGTGGGGTTGTGACTTCCTACATGCGAGTTACAGTTAGGAAACTTTTTGTTATCCAGGTATATTTTACCAGTTGCTGGTTAATTGACAACTATCCTTTCATAACATAATAGCTGCCAGCAAAAACTACAGATTTTTTATCATTGTGAGAATTTGTGTAATAGATTGGTGATTGATACATCAGAGCTGGATCACGTGTTACCTGCAGTTAGAAACTTGCATCATGATTTTGACTCAAACCTGATAATTCAGTGTAATCCATGTCTCCTTCCAGCTGAGTTGCTATAGCCTTAGCTGCATCTTCCACTTGTGGTGTTGTCTCTTTTCCCAGTATTTGCACCGGTGGTCTCTTGGGTGGCTTTGTGGACGATGCATGCGCATTGACTGGTTTCTTTAATCGCC